ATACTAAAAAAAACCATCACCACCTGGTTTTGCTACAGACAGTAGAGGAATTGACTGAAAATTAAATTAAATAATACAATAAAAGACACTATTTCAGAACAGACTGTAACTATACTTCTCTTTCTGTTTATTCCTCACCCTCCATCCACAGTCACCTTATATTTTTTTGTATTTAGTGCAACCAGTGAGCTGTCAGAGGTTGCATCTGCTATTACACATAAGGGCAGCAGTGTAGTTATCCGAGAAGACAAATTGTTCTTCACACAGGAAATTCAGCTTTCCTTCTACTGCTGCTGTTGTCAAAGTAGTAAATATTTAAACAGTGCAGTTTTAAATGTAGATACCTAGCATGTTGGCAACAACTGTAAGGGTAGTACAAGAACACCTGGAGAAGAGCTGGGAGTTGCATATCTGTAAAGCTAAGATATAAAATCAGAATCTCTTGTATTTTGTACTTGGACAAAGCGATTAACTTGAAACTCCCATTAGAAAAGCATTGAGCACTCAGAGCGGCATGTGTACGTCTCTGATCAAAGCCTTTACTATGGTTTTATGGAGTAAATGAAAACTGCTTTTGTTTCTGAAATATCAGTAGTGTCAACTGACAAATAGCTCGTATTGCAAAGACAAAAAAATTAAAAAATAAGATACCGAAGTCACACATGTTTGTATACGTTCTACTGTGATCCAAGCAGACGTTTAAGTCAGAGTTCTGGAAAGAAAATTTTAAAATAAACTAAAAAGTATTCAGCCAGGAATAAATTGAAATTTGCTTAATCTCACACCCATGCAGTTTTCTAAACCATGTTTAAAACAGAGCTATAGATTGTGAAGTTTAAAACATTGGTACATTTCATTAGAAATCCAGGTTTCATGCCTTTCATTTTGCAAGGACATTTTTAAAATCCTAAAGAAGTGGGATTGCTCAAATACCATAGAAGCTAAACTTGAAACTGAAAAGGAAAACAACTTTTTTTCCAACCTTTATTATTTTCCAGATAATAATTCTGTTTTCATAGAATGGTTTAGGTTGGAAGGGACCTTAAAGACCATCTGGTTCCAACCCCCCTGCCATGGGCAGGGACACCTTCCGCTAGACCAGGTTGCTCAAAGCCTCATCCAGCCTGGCCTTGAACACTTCCAGGGATGGGGCATCCACAGCTTCTCTGGGCAACCTGTTCCAGTGTCTCCCCACCCTCCCCCAGAAGAATTTAAATCACAAGCTGAAATATGAAAAGATATTTTTCATCAAAAATTTGGTTACCTCCTCCACTTCACTCAAGGGCTGAAAATATTAAATTTGAAACTGAGTTCTCCCCCTACTCTGGGAACACCAGGGAAAAATAGGATTAATGAATCAGAAAGATAAATGACAGCATTCAGTACCAAGAAAGAGGTACAAACTTAGGTTCTGGCTGTACTTGAGTGTCTTCTCATTCTTTTTATCGTAACAAATCAAAGGGCTGTAGTGTCTATCAGTTAACCTGTACTTCTCTTCTCTACACTGCTTTTGCTCCCTGAGAAAAAAAAGAAAAAAGAATTTGTAGGAAAATATAAAATCTACATAAGAAATATGGAAAGGAATCACTTCAGAAAACAGGTTTGGAGAGGATGGAAGGATGACTTGTTCAGGCTCTACATTGAGACTTATAAGCTCTTGACTTTGAACAGACTTCTTGTAGTTTTAGGCAGGTTGGGTGAGATGCAAATGTCACTCAACAGAGTGACTAATTGTAGAGTAACGAGATTCCAAACACTAGCGGTAGTTGATGTGCTCCAATAACATCTTCTCAAAGTGAAATATCCCTTTCTTATAACTCCTCTGAAAAATTTGAATAATACATAACTGCTTCATGGGGGTGTTGTCTCTCCTCATGAATGTCTTTATCTCATTGCAAAACAACTGCCTCTCGACATGAAAAGTCATGTTGCAGTGATGGAGAACCCTCAACCCTATTTGGGAGAACTCAGGTAGGAGAAAAGCAAAAATGGAAAGTGGATGTTTAGTTGAAAAGGAATGAAAAATGGCCACTGGAAGCACCATGTGCTTACAATAGTTACAAGTCTGTCAGAAAGATACAGTTTATTTGCTCTGTTTTGTTCATTTTAAAGAAGAGTTCAGATGAGGAAGGAAACCTGCATCACAGAAGCCCATGTGATTTGTGATTTTTTCCTACCAAAGATTATCTTATCTTGTTTCATCATCATACAAATATCTGAGGCTTGGAATAAAACAAAAAATAAAGAGCTTCTACAACATCAGCATAATTAGGGAACAAAACCCGTAAGGGGCAGGTCCTAAGGTGAGCTGGAGCCGGTCAGCCAAGGAGCAAAACTCAGGTCTTCTCAGCAGAAGCAAATGCATTGAACCCCCTCACCTGCCCTGCCTGGCAACATGGGAATGTGTAATCCTGTACTCCTTTCAGCTTTCCTGTAAGAAGCAAACAAAGCCTTCTGCAGGAATCCAGCTACATCAAACACACACAAGAGCATTACAGACTTGCTCAACCCTCACTTGGACAGTGGCATCCAGTCTCTCCCTTGACTGCTCTAATCTGGCTAGACTTTTTTGTGCTGCATTAGTGGAGTTCATTAGTTTTTTGGATGAGGCTTTATTTCAAACATTCCAGATCTAGAAGAACATGAACTATGCCACTGGGGAAAGTGAAAAACCTGGATTCAGGCTCCACTCATTCATGTATTCAGCACAGCATTTCCCCTGTCAAGGAAGGGTTTCACAGGGCGTTTGCAGCAACACTGATCATTTTGGTCATTAGACTGCCACGGGTAGGCTATTTTCTTCTGCATGGTTTGTGATGGAAAAATGTATGAGCTAGTTTAATCAAAGAATTAACTACATGACAAAATACGTTTCGTGTGTGTGGGTTCCTTCCCATCTTTCTAACAGGAGTCCAAGGAGAGGCAAGTTCAGTGCAAAGGGAGGCTTTGTTCATTTAAGCTGACCCACCTTGTACCGAGTGATTCTTCAGGAGCTGATCGGGTTTCTCACTGCAGTAGTTCCTAGCGGTTCACCGGTTCCCAGCTATTGCTCATCCTCTGCCACCACATCCTCTCCTTTCTCAGGAATGATGGTGAGGCTATGAGTAAAGTAAGTTGCTGCAATAGATCACAGAATCACTGAGGTTGGAAAAGACCTATTAGATCATCCAGTCCACCCATCAGCCCAACACTGCCATACCCACTAGACCATGGCCTCAAGCGCCACGTCTACACGTTCCTTGAACACCTCCACCACCTCCCTGGGCAGCCTGTTCCAGTGCCTGGCGGCTCCTTCAGCGAAGATGCAAGAAAACACATAACTAACCTCTGAAATTTGCTGCAAGAAATGTTATAACCTGATGGTCTTAGTTATTTTTCAGAGACATTATTAGCAAAGTAGGTTGTTTTGACCGAATTCATCTTTAGAACTACATTTATGAACTCTAGAGTTTAGGCAAAAATTTACTGCAAATACTAAGTTAAAGATAATTACAAAAATAATTTCAATTCTACTCACTAAAATGACTTCTTTCTTTAGCAATATCTGATTTTTACTGCATTTTACAGGCAAAACCAATAGCCTAAACTTCGGCTGAATTGTTATGAAATAGTAGTTCTGGTAGAAGTTTATTGATATTGCTTCCTTACTATTCTGCATCTGGTTTTGATATTAATTATTTAGCTTGTGTAGCAATGGCTGTCACAAAGTAAACAAGAAAACAGCAGCTTGAATTACACAAAGCAAAAATCAACCAACCACAAAGAATACAGTAAACCTGTTTTACTGTAAAACTGTATTTACTGTAATACTGTAAAAGTACAAACACAAACTACACAATTATTTCCTTTCAGTTACAGAAATGGACTGTCATTTTTCTGTCTGGGGAGTTTTGGCCTTTCTGAGTTTGGCTCTGGTTGTATCGTTGACACTGAATATTTCACACTATATGAAAAAGAAGCAAGGTAAGCAAAGTCTCTCTGTAAGGAATGGAGTTGGAGTGTTTAAAGTGTCTGCAGAGAAAGACATCCCTGCTAGGATTCTTTCGAATCTTAAAGTTATCTTTTGGCATGAACAACTCTAGTTGAAAGAATGTAACTTTTAAAACTTTTTAGGGGAGACAGGTATGATTACAGAATGATTGCTAGCTGCTCAATCCACTGCTAAAAACAACCATCTGAATCCATTCCCTGAAGACAAAGTCAACATAACATGTACAAGCTGAAGAATTTAGTTCTGGATACATTTTTACTTTTAAAGTAATTTTTAACATCTGTAATTTCCCTTTTTTAAAACGTACTTTTCATGTCACTGGTTATAATTTGTACTTTAAAAATTATTTTAAGTAGCTGCACTAAACAAAATACATTTGAAAAAATTCTCTCCTCCCACAATTACTGAATGCTTATTTGAATTTCAGATTTCATACACATTTTATGCTTAATCAGTTTATTTTGAAAAGTTCTAATTGCTTTTCATCAAGGGTCCTAATGCAGCTCTTAAACCAATGCGTCACTCACAACAAGGAACTGATTTGTTTAATTTATATTAGAGGGTGACTACAGTCATACTCTGGTTTTGGTTAAAATTAACTATAACTTTTTCTGACACAATTCATTATGCTGGTGCAACCTTTCTTATGCATACAGTTCTATAGTTATTAGGTTGTACAATCCTCAGCACTCCCATGCAGGGAAAAGCGGCCTTTACACATGGAAAACAGCACCCGTGCTCCACACGTATGTGTGGGCAGGCAAATGCTGGTGGATTCAACCAGGTTGAACGCACAGTCATACGTAATCTACATAAGGAGAAGGCCTTTGCTTGTAAACTGAACTCACGCAGTATAAGAAAATATTAGATTATTACAGGATATTAAAAGAGCTGCTGGAGTGTTGTGGGATGGGGAGGAGGAGGGTGCCTTTTTGGTTTATTTTGTCTTTCAGTGCTACAAGGCAGATATTTCTATGATGAAAAGTCACAGTAAGTTATAAAACTAACCTTGAATAGTTTCAGTCAGATTGGGTGATGCTGCATTGTTCATGGAATCGGAGTTTACCATGGTAAATTCTGTCTTGGAGCAGAGGAGAGGAAGTCAGACATTCCTGAGTTATTAATCAAGCTCTAACAATAAATTTCTTCGTAGCCATTGCCTCTCTGCTTCAGTTTCTTTGTCTGTGTGGATCACAGGACATCTCTCTTCCAGAGATACAGGCAGCAGCACTAGTAAAATAAATGAACCCTTCACCTTGTAATATAAACACATGATGCATCTCCCTAGGCAGAGAAAAAGATGAAGTAGAAGCAGGAGGAGGAAACAATGAATTAATCGCATGTGTTACAATACATTTCTGGGTTCTTGTAAACTAACACAGACTTTGAAGCCACAGCACAGAGTCATAACAAGCATTTCTTGTATTAGTCAAAAGTATTTGAGAAAAGTAGGGGGAAAACTCAAGGTGCTGAGAGCCAAATCTTTCAGTTTTACTCCACAGTGAAATCAAAAGTATGTCAGTTAAGACAATTATCTGAAGTGTTCTAAAACAGCGTGTTTCATTTTCTTTTCACTTCATTTTTTTTAAACAAATTTTCCAGCTAAAATGTACAAAGAATATGAAGACAACAGTCCAAGGTAAGTTGGATTTAAAAAAAAAGTTTCTTTCTGGCAAAGGTGAAATAAGCAATAAATAGCATATGACTTTGGAGGGTGGCAGAGAGGATAATCCAATAGGTCCTGCAGTCTGCCTGGAAATGTTGGAGAGCAGGTTGGTTATGGGAAAAAATGTTTTCCAAAGAAAACAGGGGGGAAAAAAAAAAAATCACGTGGCAGAGAGGTAATCCAGGAATTCTATCAACAAGGAAATAATTACATGCTAATATCATGCAAGGAAGTGCAAGATATTGAGCTAAAGTACTATTTACTATCAAACTCAATAATAATTAAGAACTCTCAGCAGACAATGATAAATTATAGTCTGATATTTAATCCTTGTGCAGCAATCATTTATATGTATTTACATTTCATACTTTTCTTTTACATATTAAAAAGCAATAAGCCAGAGCCCATTTACAGGTGCTGGCTAGCTCATGATCTGTGACATCTGTTTCTCTTATTCCGTATAGAAAACCCCAAACAAATACTTCAGAAAACAACGGAGAGGGTCTCACTGCAACCCAAATATAAGAGACCCTTGAAATAAAATACAAAAACCTTCACCGGTTCTGCAAAACCAAACCTCAATTATAAATTTACTTTAAATTAGGACATCTCTATTTCTGCCTGTTTAGTTGAAAAATGGCACTGCAAAAGTGCTCTTAGATCACATCACTTCATTTCCTTCACGAAGGTACAGTATAGGGATGTAACGGAACAAGGTTACACAGTGCTGCCCACTATCAATTCCCATCTTTGCTTAAAGACATTTTTAAGCAACACCAGGTGATGAAACAGAATATCATTAAATATCCAAAGCTGAAATTTACTTGGGTCTTCTCTAGCTGTGTCCATGTAAGTACTTCAGTTGAACCATGAGTGGTCATTGTAAGAACACCTCCTCAAATGACTGACTTAGTGCTTTACTTTGGATTGCCAAGTTGGAAGACATGAACTGGGGTCCCTTCAGTGATCATTAGTGTTTCTAGGACTATACCAAGCAGCGGTTGAGGAGTCTGGAGATGAACTTTACACTTAAAGTTACAGGAAAGAAGAGTTCAATTCTTGGCTAGATAACAAATCTCTCCTCAGAATACAGATATTGCCATTTCTTCCCCTTCTCTAAAACCGGTATTTCTGCCCCTCCCTACTCCTCCCCTCCCAGTATTTTTGGTCTTGTTTTTTAGATCACATACAATCTGCTATTGCTATATGTGTGTAAAGTGTTTAGGGTAGAATAGCGGTGTCCTAAATAAAGCATATTCTGTGAATTAAAAGTATTTTTCCATTCCCCTTCTAGCTATGATGACCATCACACAGAAGCTGACCCAGTTTATGGCAACCTCAATCAAGATATTTTAGGTAAGCTTCACTTGAGGAACATGTGTCTGTTCAGATGCTTTAATAAATGCACAGTTAAAAGCTGACTGACCAACACTTCAGCGCTTCTCAAATAGCACACCAGAGATCTCATCTATCCCTTTTCAATTGCTCTATTAATGCCTATTTGGGATAGAACTGCAAACTGTCGTACTGCAGTACTGTTTGCAGGACCAGATCTCGTACTGAATTTGATTATCTACAGTTCAAATCGTCCTGTTAAGCCAAGTATCTCAAACCCAAGAGCTTTTCTACATGTACAGCCGCACCAACTGAAATAACAGCCTGGTGCATGTGTGTTAAATCAATCAGAGACACCCGTTACACACTGCCCAAAGTCAGTGCTCCCGCAGCAGCTGGCCGAAACACATAGCATTTCTCTGCTGTGGCTATCCACAGGTCATCAGCGATGGTGACAAACATACTGAAACAAGCCCAGTGGCTAAACGGTGGGTAGATGGAGCTTTTCTCTGCTTTACTGGGCTGAAGTGAATCCTTGGCAGAGATACCACACTAAAGGCAGTAACATCATGTAACTGCAGCTAGAGCTAGATATGCTGAGGGCATGTCCCTTGAAGTCCTTATGGTGTTAAAGCAGTATTTGAGTAACACAAACACAACTTTTACTTAACCCCAAATAAGGCTAGAAAAAACTGAAGTACTTGGGCTTCTGGTTTCTGTTTTTTTTTTTTTTTTTTTTTTTTTTTCTCCCCTGCGGTTCAACTTTTTCATGTAGGGTTTGTGTAAATTTAACTAAGCCAACAGTCAGATGCATTGACACTACAAAGAAACTGTAAGGAAGTAATCAGTTTTACTGATGGCTAAAATGAGATAACAACTTGCACCAAATTTACAGAAAACTGAAAGTAGAGTCAAGAATAGAATTACCAGCTGCTGCAACACACAGCTTCTTTCTTAGCAAAGCAAAGATTGCTTATGCTGAAAAATATATCATGATGTGGTCACCCCCGAATTGCAAGATGCCCTCCTAGTAGTCCCAAAGAAGGCTCACTTTGTGAATAATGAGAAAATTCCCATCCATATGAACAGAAAACGATTTTCGTTTTCAAAGTATGTGGGTCTGAATTTCTTAGCTAGTTCCCTCTCTATAAATAGAGGGAGAGCTCTGTGTGCTATTTCAAAACAAGCTTCTACCAAAGAAAACTGGGGAATGGGTGTTAGTTCTGTAACAGGGAGGATCTGCCGATCTGATCTTTTAAGACTCAGTGGTATTTCTTAACTAAAAGATTTTTTTTTATTTTGATAAATTATAGAGGAGTGTTGTTACGAGCAGATGAAGTCCCAGCCCCAAAGGCCAGTTAACCGACCACAGGTATCTTTAATTTTAATTCTGGATTTCTGAAGTAGGGTAATGCAGTCTGTCTCAGAGTTTCTTGTTTATCCCATGACAGTATATAACAAAAATCTTCACACTGCTCATCACAAAAATTACCATGCCTTACACGTCTTAGATCATCAGGGAATTTAAGCAGACTTGACCCTTTGTTAAATGCGGGTCATTAATGAGGGAGCAGGACAACCATAGACAGCTCATTTCTATCCATATGGCATGATAAAGCTCAGTCACAGGCAGGCAGATCAGGCAGAATTAAGCCTGCATCTACTGCTATGACTTATGCAAAGAATTAACTTTATTTATGTTGGACATCAACCAAGTGAAAACACAAGCAGCATCACATCACATAATCATGAGTTTGACTGGCTGTCTCCTGCCCAGCACTAGTGATTTATGTTTTGCCGAGATACTTGAACACTTAAAAGCATGCAAGCTTCAACTGAAATTTGTCTGTAATTGAAGCATTCCTAGCATCAATTTCCTGAGTTGATTTCTAGCCTGCCTCAGGATACTGATACTTAAAGAAAAAAAGTTCTAGCATTTGGTCTCATTAACTTCATGGAAACAATAATGATGAAAATTCCAGTGTCAAAAGTGCTTGACAATTTGGCTGGAAAAAGAGAGGCAGGGCTAAAACTTTCAAAACATACATTTTACACTGGAAATGACATTATATGTACAGACAAGAATCCCTCATTTCTGGTTTTCCACACAGATGTGTTTCAAAAATATGAAAAAATGTTGTTGCTAATAACTGGATTCTGATTAAGAAAAGCAAGCAGAAAACCAGATGAAATAATGTCTTGCATCCCAAAACACCTGGACTGATTATCCAAGCTACCCTCTTTCCCATAGAGGATCTTTCCAGAAGTACCTTGCTGAATTTTTCCTTACTGCCAATATCCTAGGAACACGAGTCACTTACCATTAGGTTATGTTGTGGTCTCTTTTCTGCACAGCCACGACTTAATCGTTTGTACTTAACGAACCCATTGACAGCTAGTTTGGGTAAACTTCAGCCACTATTATAATTACTGTGTAGACATATTCGAAGTCTTAGACATAATTTTAAAGCAAGCATGACTAAATATCGTTCTAGGTGGAGACTGCCAATCAGATGTGTTATGCCACACTTGATCACAGCGTCAAGGGAAAACGCCGAAAACCAAGGAGAAGGACAGACCCTTCATTAGAGAAGGATGAAGAAGAAAGATCATCTAACCCCACTATGACGGCTCCCAAAGTTAGCATTTACCTCAACAGCGAGCAGCTGGCTGCTGAAAACATGGCAAACATAGAAGCTGTTCATGATGATCCTGTCAGATTAATGGGTTTGATTCACGGTACAAATGGAGAGAACATCTGAAGTGGCTTCACAAACCAAATATGTGATCATAAAGTGAGATCTGCTTGTTCATTCTGGAGGAACCATGACTGATAAGAGAGAGTATCCTGGCAAACTCATGTACCAAACAACGGTATAAGTGTGTTCTGAAAGAGTTTTCCAAGCACATTTAAGGGCTATGCAAGAAATAAGATCCAGACTGCCATGTTGAAGGACGTGCCGTCCTGAAGAGATTTTTGTAAGGGAGTTGTAGAAGCCAGTATCTCAGCATTCCTATGGTATAGATTCCACTTATTTAAAACAATCATCAACTTCCAAAACAGTCCCAAAAGACCCACTCTGCTGTCTGTAGAGCTCTAGCAGAGTAAAACTATTCTTCTATATAGGTTTTCACAGTACATTTGGAAGGAAATGGTGTTTCATACTTGCATGCTTAACGATTTAGTTGTTTTCCCGATTAAAAACAGATCTGCTGTTCAACGTTGTGTACCATCCCACTGCGTGTGGTCTATGGTAATAACGCAATATATCTAAATAGTTTAACAGCTTGTTTAAAGTACTAATTGTACATCCTGCCCATGGCAGGGGGGTTGGAAGTAGATGATCTTTAAAATCCCTTCCAACCCAAACCATTCTGTGATATCTCAAGATTTAACAATATCCGTATATATCTTTATCTTCCTTTTGTCAGCAATACCATAACGCATCTCAAACTCCTCTACTAACATAACGTTCTATCCAGCCATATTCAAGACTCCACAAAGATACTGGCAAATTTACTGTGACAATAAATGTCCCACAGAGGAATTTTTTTCCTTCTAGTATTCTATGTGATGTTTAAATTCCTATTGGGTTTTACATTGCCATTGTTACCAACTATTTTACAAAGGTAGAAACCTTTTTATTTTCCCAAATAATTCACATACTCTGTGTGCACATTCGTCTTAAGACTTTAGACTCATCAGATGGTAAGCTTTTATAGAGCTCGGATTTATTTTTATATTCTGGGAGTCATTAAGTAGTAGCACCAGGAAATAGTAAGGCATGTTGATGTAATATGTCTACCTTTGTGTGTTGGACAGTTCTGCCTTCTCAAAAAAAAAAAAAAAAAAAAAAAAAGAAAAAAGGAATTTCGTGCCTTTAAAATCCCTCCAGAGCAGTGTCAAGGAGCTTGAAACTCAAGCACATGGCCCTGCACATGTGTCAGGTCCTGAAGACAACAGACCTGAAAGCAGTTCCAAAAAAAAAAAAACCCACAAACCCAACCCCCCCCCAAAAACCCCCCACTGCACACAGCAACAAAAACCCAAACAAAAAAACACAAGAAGCTCATAGTACAAAGAGCCAAACACCTCTTTTAAAAGCTAAAGTTGATGGACATGCCCAGAGATGGGACAAATTTAAAGAAAAAAAAAAGAAATCAGTGTGAAAGAAACCATTCTTGCACAGCCTGGTTCAGGTCTTGTTTAGTTCATAGACAGTGAGGCTCTTCAACATGCCTTAACTTCTGTGCTAGATCGAGAGTAAGGGGCCAACCCCTGCAGCCAAAGCTGCCCAGTGTCACTGCCCATGCTGTGCTAGCACTTGCTTTTGTATGAAGAAATCAAGTTGATATGTTTGGCTGTTACACCCCAGAAGGAAGGCAGACTTGGAATGAAAACGACTCTGTTATCCCGGGCTTAGACCACCTACCACTGGATAAGCAAAAACAAAAACCCACTGTTGAAGAACTGATAAAAACCCACTTCAGTGGACAACTGTATTAATGATGACCCTGACTAAGACCCTAAGGGGGGAAAGGAGGGAGGCAAGGAGGGAGGCAAAGACAAAGCTGAAGATCTAAAAGCTGAACACCAAGATATCTGCACATGAAGTACAGAATAGACTGGAAGGAATTATTCTTTGTTCCATAGTAGGGAAACAGTAATAAAATACATAACCACACTCTTGCTTAGACTCACATATCAAAATTGTTTGAATATGTAAAATATTTATATAAATATTTAAATTTAGCTGGCACCAATCAGATGCAATACTCAGGCCTCTGAGATGATTGAATGAGAAAGCTTTCTTAAACAACTTCTGAAGCAAATAAGCAAAGGCGCCGGAGTCCGTCGCTGTTTTCCAACCTGCACATGAAACAAGGAATGTTGCATTTTCATTTGGTACAGTTTGTGTACACTTTGTACAAAAGCTACTATTTCCCATTTTTCTCACAGCATTTGTATTCTTCATTATGCCTTTCCTCTAAAAATTCCAAAGTCAAAGAACTTTTGTTACCTAAATTCAACCTGTCATGTCAGCCAGATCATTAAATTAATAGAAACAAAGTACACGCTTCTCTGAGTGTACATGCAGCAATAAGTCCACTTCATGAAATTTAGGTACATCTAGTTTCCTCTGTATTCTTAGTCTTCATTTTTTAGTCCAGCTATTTAAATCAATTTTCAGCAGCTGCTTTCCCTTGCAGCACGTCTTGCTAGAAGAGCAGGGCACTTTTGTAAATATTCTCCTTCAATAGATACTTCCTTTCCCCATTTAATCACTGTTTCCATTAAATTATTCACTGCTGCTCTCACAGAGTCCACTTCAGGATCATCTTTAATGGCCTAGCAATTGTTTCCAAGGCACTTCTGATGCTGCCATGGTCCAGATTTAGCTTTATTCCTCCAGGTTTTTTTACCCTCTGTCCACTTAAACAAGCAACTGAATGACCTATTTTTTGGAGAAAAAAAAAAAATTACTTTTTGGGACAGTTTTCAAATCACTACTGAATTCCTACATGAAAGAACAGATCATCTTTAATGGCCTAGCAATTGTTTCCAAGGCACTTCTGATGCTGCCATGGTCCAGATTTAGCTTTATTCCTCCAGGTTTTTTTACCCTCTGTCCACTTAAACAAGCAACTGAATGACCTATTTTTTGGAGAAAAAAAAAAAATTACTTTTTGGGACAGTTTTCAAATCACTACTGAATTCCTACATGAAAGAACATG